GTTCTAAAATGCTTTGCAGGCCTTAATTTAGTAATCCTCACAATAATCTTATGAGTAGGTATTATTATCATTTCCATTTTACAGATGAAGAAATTGAGTCTCAGAGAGGTTAAGTAACTTCCTCAAGGCTACCCAGCTGATAAATGAGGGACTGAGATTTGAACGCTGGCAGCCTGACTCAATTGCTCATGTTCTTAACCACTGTAGGAGCCTGCTATATTTTTAAACTTTAAATCCACTGCATATTTTATAATAGCAAGTTGCCTTGCTTCACTAAGGTGTCTGGCCCTTTCTCTTGAATGATTTTGCCACCGCCAGGCCAGCTCTCAGCACAGGTCCCTGTGAAACCAGGCCTTTGCTGAACAGGCTGTAGACTCAGCCCTGAGTTCCCCGTGAGGGATGCATTTTCCACAGTTACCAGAGGCGAAGGTGGGAGTTTGTCTCCTTGAATTCCACAGCCTGGACCTCTTCAACCAGACCGTCTCCTAGACTCTCCTTGTCTAAGCCAATTTCCTATCTTCTGTAGTTCTCACCTCTATCCATAATTCACATTTTTTCATTCTTGTTTCAGCCAAACAGGAATAAACTTTGAATTAGTAGGTGTTAAGGAAAACACTTAGTCATCCTAGTCTTTTCTCAACAGTTTTCACAAGCCCTACGGGGTCCTGGATTAACCTCCTAACTGGATTAATCCAGTCTGAACAGTTTCTTTCTGCCTTTATCACCTCAAACATGACTGGCTACTTGCTTTCCTTAAGCTTGTCTGCTTTCTCCCTCAGACTTTTAGTTGCTTCTCCAATTGGTTGTGCAAACTGAAGTTTTAACCACTTTTCTCAGGATTCTCGCTTTTCCTTTTTTAGAGGTATCTTATGAGATCTGACTTTGTTGCCCTCAATTCCTCTTCCCCACCGGGTGAAAATGCTACTTTCCTTTCTCCTTCCTCTTCTTTCGTGACAGGTCTGGTATCAAAGAGCCAGAACCAGGCAAGGGTAGTCCAGCCCCCACTTTGGAGTCTTAGTCTGCCTCTAACTCAGGCTCTGAACTTTGGCATCTACCTGCTTTACTTTACTCTTAACTCAAAGAGGGAGGTATGTGTTCAGTTGCTGTGCAGAGCCTGGACTCCATGTACCTCCTGGATACATGGGTTAGAGAGAAGAGCCTACTGTGCTCAGATGAATTGCTGGGAAAACGTGTTAGACCTTTATTAAATTAAAAAATAATCAATGATATCTAGCATTAAATTTAATAAGAAATATGAAATTCAATAATAAAATATTAGGACGTTATCAAGAATCATAAAATAATATTTTTGAATAAATGGAGAGACTGCGCTCGTCTGTTGGGTATAGTTAGAGCAGCAAATGGCATGGGAGAGACTGGTTTTACTCACCAATGCCTGAGAAAACTGAGTATGAACGTAGCAGAAATTAGCCTGCTCAGGGATTGAATAATCTCAACACTGGGAGAAGCACCAGTGCTCCCCTGGTCCTCTGCCCAAATCAGGCAGCTGTCTGGGCCCCTAAGAAAGTCCCTGCACAAAGCACAGAGGCCACGCAGCAGCTAGAAATTCTAGACACAGCTAAATGATCTGAGCCATACGTGTTCCACTTCTTTGGATAACCTAAGCCACAATGGTTAGCGGAAGCTCTTGTATCACACGGTTGTAAATAAGGCACTAACTAGTCAAAACAAGGCACAGCAAGTCCATCTCAACTTCCCCTAGTAATCACAAGAATGAAACAAGAAAGAAATGCACTAGTCCAGTAGAAAAGACTACAAGCTGCGTAGCTGGGTGGTAAACCTAGTCCAGGGAAGACTCAGCCACTTGTTTATGGATTGCCAGCAAGGTGACCGTCCAGACGTGATCATCACGTTCAAAGGAGTGGCTCCCCAAGGGTACACCAACATCTCTCTCTGTCGCCCTCACAGCAATATTGTATGTGACTGGGTGGGGGCTAATCACGCAAAATGTCAGCTCTAAAACCAAATTAATCTGTATAATCCAAACTTGTATACTCTCAAATCCTTGTTTAAAAGTAGCTAAACATCCCAGTTTCACCTTTCCCACAATTTGTGCAAACCCCTCAACTTCTTCATAATTCTCTCTGTTTTTGCACTGCTCAATGTGCAGACTTCAGCCCCTTAGATAGTTTCTATAAGAAGTTTACTTGTGTTCTAACTTCATGATGTTTAGTAATTTTTGCTAATGACTAGAGGAGGAATGGAGGAAATTATGTAAAGAACCATAAGGGTTCCTGTCTTATCATTGGCTCTCTCTTCAGCTATCTTTCAAAAGTCTATGATCCCTGACCCCTGAGACATGCAGTGTAGTTTCCCAGCCTGAGTGTTTTTCCCATAAGAGGTAATTCTGCCTCTCTAATAACCTACTTTCACTCCATCCCCAGATTCTAGTGAATAAAATTTTCTTTGTCTTCATCTCTAATCAAAACTTCAATCTTGAGAGAACTGGAAAAAATGATTCTGAAGCTTACCTAGAACAGAAAATAGAAAGAATAGCCAAGAAGACTTTAAAAAAGACTTGCTATCCTATATTAAAAGCTGCATAATTTAAGAGATGGATAGAACAATGGAACATAACAGAAAACCCAGAATCACATTCAGTATATTAGAATTTAGTACATTATAAAAATGGCATTTAAAACCAGAGTGGGAGAAACTATTTGCAAATCATATGTCTGATAAATTACTTTTATCTAGAATATATAAAGAACTCTTATAACTCAGTGATAAAAATATTATTGACCCAGTCTAAAAATGAACAAAGAATTTGAGTAGATGTTTCTCCAAAGAAGATATATAAATGTTCAATAAGCACATGAACAGATACTCGATATCATCATTAGTCACTAGGGAAATGCAAATCAAAACCACAATGAGATATTACTTCACATCCACTAAGATGGTTAAAATAGAAAACACAGTCAATAGTAAGTGTTGGGAAGGATGTGGAGAAATTGGAACACTCATACATTGTGAGTGGGAATATAAAATAGTGCAGCTGCTGTGAAAAACAGTTTGCAGTTCCTCAAACCGTTAAACATAGAATTACCATATGACCCAGCAATTCTACTCCCATGTATATACCCAAGAGAAATGAAAACATGTCCACACAAACACTTGTACACAAATGCTCATAACAAGCTTATTCATATTAGCAAAAGGATGGAAACAAGCCAAATAGTCATCAGTGGATAAATGGATAAATAAATGTGGTATATCCATACAATGGAATACTATTCAGTCATAAAAAGTAATGAAATACTGGTACATGCTACAACATGGTGAACCTTGAAATCATTACACTAAATGAAAGAAGCCAGTTACAATAAAGCACATACTATTCCATTTATATGAAATGTCCAGAATAGGCAAATCCATAGGACAGAAAGTAGATTAGTGTTTGCCAGGGACTGGGGAAGGGGAGAATTGGGAGTACAGGTATGGGGTGTCTTTTGGGGGTGATGAAAATGTTCTAGAATTAGTGGCAATGGTTGCATAACCTCATGAATATACTAAAAACCACTGAATTGTACACCTTAAGGGGGTGAGTTTTATGTTATGTGAATTATCACTTTTTTAAAAAATTGAACAGTTGCAGGGTTGGGTTTCTAGGAGCTGGAACCAGAGACTTCTCTTAGAGAAGTGAGGTGAGTAAGTTCGAGATCAAGTAAGAGTCTGTAGCCTAGATGAAGAATCTTTGAAGGCCAAGGAAGGAAATTCGTTTCTAGTCTTGGGATCCCTGAGCCAAGGAGAACTTTGGAGGGCTGGAGGAAAATAGACATTCAGTATAACTCAAAGGCAGAGGGGTTGCTAGAACCTACTCTCTGAGGAGACAAATTCTGTGGAAACATGGTCTAGGAATTTCTAGAAGCATGAAAGGTAGAAGGCTTAACAGCAGTGTCAACCTTCAGGCCAAATTCTAGGTTGCTTGGTATATATGTTATCCAGGCTCAAGAACTAGGAAGCACTCATACCATATCATCAAGTAATTCAAACGTCTTCTCCTCCAGGAACACTTCCCTGACTGAGTAATTCAAACATCTTTTCTTCCAGGAACACTTCCATACCCGACTTTCCCCGACTTCCATCCTCTCTTCTGTGCACCCCTAACACCCTGTTGCTATCAATATCACTGCCCTTACATTGGATTGACATTTTCTTCTATGTTTGTCTTCCCCACTAGGAATAGGAATCCCAGGATGGTCAGGGATGGTATAACCCTAGGACCTAGCACACGGCCTGACCCCTGCCAAGAACTCAGTAAATGCTTGTTGAACCAATGAATAATTGAAGAGACTATAGGAATGTTTCATTCAGGACAGAACGATCTATTGATAATATGCATTTTTAAGACTTTTCATAGTAATGGACTCACTTATTTGTAATAGTTTGTGACACCTATGTGTTTTGATATGATGATTTTGCCATGTGTTGTAGTACCAGGCTCACTTCTACTAAACTACAAGTCCTTTGAAGTCAGGGACTCTGTCTTACTCATCTTTCTGTCCCCCCACAGCATCCAGCACAGTGGCTTCTGTGCAATAGATGCTCAGTAATGATTTATTAATTTAAATTTAGGCAAGCAAGTTTAGGAAAGGCTTCCTTGGAAAGAACCTCAGATATCTTAAAATAAGGTGCTGGAATTGACTTATAAGAGAGGGCTGGGTTTCTGTTTGGCAGTAACGTTGGTGCAGACCATCCTGTTGTCTGTGGGGACATAATCTAGGAATACTAGAAGCATTAATGGTGGAGAACTCCTCAGAAGTTACTTGCTTTGTTGCCTCCAGAAAGCTTGAACACAAGAATTTCCATTTTTATTGTATTTCTTGATTCTTTGAATAAAGAGACAAAGTCCCATTTGTAGACAAAAATCCTCAGTGAGAAAATGTGAGGATCTAGTGGAGTCATCACTAGCAGCCAGCCTCCCACTCTGATCTATAGAGAAGCATCCTTCTCATCATACCTCTCCTCTTTTTCAGAACCAGAGAGATGTCTGCAAGCCAACAACAGAGAATTCAATACTCTATTTGGATATCCCGTGAGTATCAGCCCTCAGGCTATTCCAGATGCGGGCTAGTATTCTCCTCTGTCAGTGAGGCAGGAACCTTGTAGATGTAGATCCCACAATACAGGTGCTACTTTCTCTCAAGCTCCTATACAGTGAAGGCTGGTGCAGTGAAGGCTCAGAAACCAAAGTTAATCGAGTGACCTAGGCTCAGGGAAGAATGTATCTCAGATTTTGGGTTTTATATATAACTCCTAGAAAAGAAATACTGTAGCTTTTTCTTGCACAAATGAAAGCATGGGTTCCACAATTTCCTTTTTTCACTTAGACATCTATCTATGACAATACATACAGATCAACCTAATTCATTTAATAGCGGCAGAGTTTTCCATTGTGTCTATATACCTTAATTTATTTAACTGGTTTTCTATTGATGAACATTTAAAATGTCTCCATTCATATCCTGGTGTCCCCTCAAAAAAAAGAAATGTCTCTGGGGGACCAGCCCAGTGGCATAGTGGTTAAGTTTGCACACTCTACTTCAGTGGCCGGGGGTTTGTGAGGTTGGACCCCAGGTGCAGACCTATACACTACTCATCAAGCCATGCTGTGACAGCATCCCACATACAAAATAGAGGAAGACTGGCACAGATGATAGCTTAGGGACAATCTTCGTCACATACACACACACACAAATGTCTCCAGTATTTAGCTATGATAAATGGTCCTGAATGAACACCATATATCCTGGCACATGTGTGAATATATCTTATGAGAGTTTCCCAGAAGTGAATTAACTGGGTCAAAAGGAAAACACATTAAAAATTTTGATACATTTTGCCAGATTTCCCTCTAAAAAGATTATATCCATTTATATTTCTACCTACAGTAGATATTGCTCACTTCTCCATATTCCTGCCAAACTGGGTATTATCAATCTTTTTCATCTTTGCCGGGCTCTTAGATAAAAAATGACATTCTGTTATCTATCTTTCCCTAATTTTGAGTGAGATCAATAATCTTTTCATGTTAATTAGCCTTTTGTACTTCCTTTTATGGAAACTACTTGTTAATGATCTTTGCCCATTTTCTATTGGATTGTTCATTTTTCACTTATTTATTTATTTATGAATTAGTAACTCATAAAAAGCCACATTTAAAAGCCATGCTCCAACACCCCATTCTTGTCCACATCTGCTCCCTACAGGGAATCACTTTTATTAGTTTCTTGTGTAGTCATCAGTGCTTCTTTGTGCAAATAAAGCAAATACAAATATATATTCTTAATTTTCCCACTTTCTTATACTATTCTGTACCTTAATATGTCCTGGAGATGTTTTCATAATAGCTTTTTTCTTCTTTCTTTTTCAGCTGCATAGTATTTCCTATGGAGATTTAACATAGTTTATATAACCAATTCATTATAAATTGACATTTGGGTTGTTTCCAATCTTTTACAGTTAGAATCAATATCTTTATACATATGTTATTTCATGCACATGAAGCTATATATATCTATATATATATATAACTATAATTATATAAGAATATTTATAGCCATACATATTTGTCATATCTGCAGGATATTAGTTTATAATTTCTGAGTTAGGTTCTGGATAATAACAACATTCAGGGTATGGCCGTGGGAGCAGGTTTTCCCCATCTCTATCGTCTCAACCTGCATAAGAAGCACTGTGGTGCAGCAAAACTAGATTTTGGCATCAGACAGACCTGAGTTGAACACAGCTCTACTCCTTACGAACCTTGCATCTTTAGGCACGTTATTTAACTTCTCTGATCTTCAGTTTCCTTATCTATAAAAAGGGCATAATAATGTTCACCTTACATAGTAGTTGTGGGAGTTATATATGATTGTGAAAAAAGTTAGTTCTTTTTCTGTAAGAAACTATTACCCCTTGAAAATAGTCTCATTCATCTCTGTATCCACAGTTCCCATCACAATATTTAGCACATAAGTAACATTTAATAAATGTGCTAAATTTTTTGTCAGTGCCATTGAGTGGATTCCAACTCATAGTGACCCTGTGTACAGCAGAGCAGAACCCTGCCCGGTCTTTTTGGACCATCCTCTCACCTTCTGGCACTGTCTTAGACAATGCTCCACTGCTATTCACAGGGTTTCATGGCCAATTTTTTCCGAAGTGAGTGGTCAGGTCCTTCTCCTGGTCTGTCTGAGTCTGGAAGCTCCACTAAACTCTGTCTACCATGGATGACCCTGCAGGTATTTGAAATCTTGGTGGCATAGCTTTCAGCATCACAGCAAGATGCAGCCACCACAGTATGACAACTGACAACTGGGTAGTATGGTTCCTGAGCAGAAACAAACCTGGGGCAGTGAGAGCTCCAAATCTTAACCGCTAGACCACCACGGCTGGCTATATGCTCAATAGTTAATGAATAAATAAACAAGTTTGACTGATTCTTATGTATTGAACAACCATTTCATTTCTTTGGCCATACTCATTGCTCATTTTCCTCCTATTTCTCTAATTTCCTCCATTCCTACTCATTTTCCTCTTCCCAATGCCTAACTACTGACGTCCATTATGTCCTTGACCTTCTGTTCTCCTGTATTCCCCCATTTAGCCATCAGTCAAGTATCACTCCCCAAGTAAATAAATAGCCCAAACCAAAATCTACCACCTCTATCATGCTTGAATTTTATCACCTCTGCCAAAAGAACTAAACACTGAGGAAGTTCATAGTTAAGCTGACATTCTACGTTCTTGAGATATTGCTTCTGGTTTGATGTTTAAGAGTAGAACAAAACACTCTAGTTGCCAGGTTAGTAAAGAAGTACTGAGACTTCTATCTTGAGGCAGAATCAGCATGGCTTTTGTCTTTGCGAAACAAATGAGTGAGTAGAAACCTAAAATACAATAATTAGCTATAAGATCAAATGGAAAATCAATAGTAAAGGCCAGTGCTTCAGTAAGGCAAAAGATCAAAAGATCTTTGAGTCCAAGTATCAGAACCATCTGGACTTAGACACCAAGAAATTCAGAGTTTCTTATGATCAAAGAAAACTATTTCTATGTTAGAATAACATACTCTCAGGGCTGGAAGGGCCCTTAGAGATCGTTTAGTTAGAACTCCATTCAAGACAGACCTATGAGCTTCTCCCAGGATAGACCTTGTTTAATTCTTTTTCAGCCTCTACTAGTATATCCCAGCATAGGGCTGTGAACAGAGCAAGCCTTGAGAAATGTATAGTATTTGATTTATTATTAATTGCAAAATCATGGAGAAACACCAAGGAAATCTTCATTTTAGCTTGGCTCTCTAAATTCCAAAGTGCTAAGCTATGTGACTAGCTTCTCTTCCCTTTGGAAATAGACCTTGGGTAAGTCTTGACTGTGTAGCCTGTCTAGCCTTCCTGGGAAAGTTTTAGCCTTAGCACTGAATGGTTTTGGTTCTCCAAGAGAAGGACTCTGAGCCTTCCCAAGGTAGGGCCCAGCAAGAGTCTTCATACTTGAGCAGTATCTGTACTCCAGGACTGCAGGTGGGTTTCTTCTTTCATTTTGGCCTTATAGATGGAAGAGGTGGGAGAGAAGCCCTGTCCTTAGGGAATTATTCGGGGTCATTCTTCTGCTTTTCTTGAGCTCTTAGATTCAAGCTCTAACATCTTAGGTTGAATGATTGAAGACCCCAATGTAGAAAGTAAGGTGGTCCTGTCAGCGTCTTGAGATCAGGATTGAAGACGTAGCAAGTTCCCATTTTCACTCAGCAAAATAACAGCTTAGATGTAGGCCAAAACTAGTCAGACTCTCTCAGGACAGTTAAGGGGCAAGTGATTCTCCAATGCTGACAGTGGCCGATGTAGAAACCTTCAGAGGACTAAGGTTGAAAGACAGTAATTTGCCTTTGGCATCTGACATCCTTCAGCATTGAAAGCAGCATGTAAAGGCACACCAAACTGAGTGTGCCAGGCTAAGAAAAGCCTCATTAGAGAGCTCTGGATTAGCGCTAACACAGATGGCAGACTGGCCTACTGTTTAGGGCTGAGGAGGACCTTAGGGACCAGAGGGTAAGATAAAAGTGAAGAATTTCAGATTCTAAGAAAGGAGAGTATTTGGATGGCTGCACAAGTGGATTGGGGCCCAGGGACAGAACAATCCCAACTCCATGACTTGTGATCTTGGGCAAATAACCTCAATTTCCTCATCCTCAAAAGGTGATCGTATAGTACTTCCCTCATAGGGTCGTTGTGAGAATTAAGTAAGTTGCTACATATAAAATGCTTAGAACAGTGCCTTGCTCATAGTAAATATTCAGTAAGTGTAAATTTTTATTGTTGTTTCTTTTCTTTTCTTTTCTTTCTTTTTTTTGAGGAAGATTAGTCCTGAGCTAACTACTGCCAATCCTCCTCTTTTTGCTGAGGAAGACCAGTCCTGAGCTAACATCCATGCCCATCTTCCTCTACTTTATACGTGGGACGCCTAACACAGCATGGCTTTTGCCAAGCGGTGTCATGTCCGCACCCAGGATCTGAACCGGAGAACCCCAGGCCGCCAAGAAGCGGAATGTGTGAACTTAACCACTGCGCCACCAGGCTGGCCCCTGTTGTTTCTTTTATTATCATTAGTATTATCAATAGCATCAATAAACAAAAAATTCTATCCAGGCAGAAAGGCATTCTGTCTCCTTTCCAAAAGTCTCATATTGATCAGTCTTGCCATCTTTGCATCCTCTAGGCCTCAAAGAAAAGGGGGAGGACAAACATTTCTTCCCTCCCTCCCCCCTGTGGTGGGGAACTGGCTTTTTCCCATTTTCCAAAGTGATCTTGGTCCTTTTAGTTAAGACTGAGAGATGGGGTCTTTTGTTCCTCTAATGTGCTTGTTTTCTTTTACTTACAGAATAATACCATCAAGACCTCAAAATATAATGTCCTTAACTTCTTGCCCCTGAACCTGTTTGAACAGTTCCAGAGACTTGCAAATGCGTATTTCCTCATTTTGCTATTCCTACAGGTATTGCGTTTTCCACAGAGTGTTTTATCAGCCTTGCTGGGGTCAGGTTGCATAATCAATCCTTCTCCTCCCTAAACTGAAAGATGTCTTCTTTCTTTAGATAACAGCCAGATGGTGTCTCACGCCAGTCCTCTAGAGTAGCTGTGGTCAGGATTAGCCAGGGGAAGGATACAAGGTCACCAAATCCCAAGGAAGGGGAGCACCCTCATCATGGCTGCTTGGCCACAGTTCAGCTTGACATAGGAGGCCCCGGACTCTTTAGTCCAACTACAGCTGTAAACCCATTCTTCCTCCTTGTCTCAGCCTCCCTGACAGAAAGTTAACATGCAGGAGTGCTGAGGAACAGGAATGGTTTAGGCCATAAGAGTACCAGCAAAGGGCCAGAAAGCAGGGCAGGCCCAGATTGGGAAAGAGGGACAGATGGTCTCATTTTCCCCTGTGCTGAAGGGGTGTGGGAAGATATGTAGTTTTCCCAAGTCTGCTCTTACCCACTACCCCAGCACCTTCATTATCCGAGGAGAACTGGACTTTTGCCTCCAAGACTAAGGTAGTAGAGTTCAGGACAGAAAGGTGGCAACTTACCATCTCCTCTTCTTTCATCCTTTCTTGGGAGATATTTACTTATATTTGAGGGGTATATAGAGGCTATAACAGTGTAAAGCGACTAGGATAGTTGAATTTATTAGGCACCTATGGAGGAGAAAATGCTGGTGGGGGTGGGGATTCGGAGGAAATATATTGTCCTTTAAGCTTTCTGACCCAAGTTTCTCTCCCCTTCCCTCTCACAGTTGATTCCCCAGATCTCCTCCTTGGCATGGTACACAACTGTGATACCACTGATGGTGGTGCTGTCCATAACAGCAGTGAAAGATGCCATCGATGACCTGGTGAAGTGGCTTCCTGGGCCTCCAGTCCCTCACTGTACCTAGTCAGTTTGGGGGACAAGAAGGACTTCCCAGAACCACCTAGTGCTAGGGAGAAGTGCGGAATGGAAAGAGGTGTTTCCTTTCTTTGTTTCTTTATCCATTCCAGAGGAATACGTAGTTCCCTTAGGCCCAAGATTGGTGGTCTATGAATGGCCAGAAAGGGGCAATGCAAGGCCTTTCTCTGTCTTCCTACTTCCACCACTTTTAGCGCCTTTTCCAGGCTTTCTTCCATCTCACTTTTAATAACCCACCTCTTCCTTCACTTAGCGTTCTTCAAGTTTGCTCTCATCCTTCTTCCTCCATTCCCCCTTCTCCCATTTTTATATTCCTCTTCCCTTCCTTCCTTTGACCCCTCCTCCCTCTTCCCCTTGTTCTTACCTTTCTTTTCCCCTTTCCACATTCCTCTTCTCTCCAACTCTCCTTATTTCCAACTTTCAATTCTATCAGGTATGCACAGCTAGGAACCCTCTGGTTTTAGAAAGACTCGTGACACAGGCGGAGGCTGACTCCTTTCCCGGCCTTGGAGGGAGAAACTGGCTCCCAGTGAGTGCTGCACGGCTTCCTCTTTGCTCCTTACAGCAGTCCCGACACAGAAGGCTGAGGATGAGGACTCAGTACCTTGCCTCCTAGTGGGATTTGGGAAGCTGGTCCTGTTGACCTGCTTGCAGCTTCTCTAAGGGAGTCCTTCTGATTTTGCCAGTTTAGATTTTTAGACCAAAGTTTGAGAGCAGGATGTTTCTCCAGCTCTTTCACTGTATAACTCTTTAAACCCAGGGTAAGCACATGTAGTGGTTTAAATTTCGGTCACAATTCAGATGTGCAAAAATGTATCTTTATTTATTTATAACTAAACTCACTATAGCTCATAACCACCATCACACCATCCCAACCCTTTTTAATGAGGGCTGGAAACTAAACTTGCCAATTCAGGATAACCTAGTTACTTCTGGTTTAGAACTCAGTCTCTTTAGGATAAATATTCTGAGAAATTCAGGATTCTCTCTATCCTCTTCCCAGTCCTGCCCTTTTCCCAGGGAGTAATAATCTCAACTGGAAGGAGGGAATTCATGTGAATCCTCGCATCAGGATACATCCTGTATTTGCCCCCTCTCTATTTGGTCTTTGAATGGAAGACCTCTGTTCCTCCTTCTTCACTGTATCCACTGTAGAAGCTTCTGTACATTGACTGTGGTTGGGGGTGGGGATGGGGGATGCTTGAGGAAACTTTCCTTGCACCTATGAAGGAATATGAGGCTCTAGTCCTGCCCACCATTGTGCATTCTCTCCTCTCTGGCTTTTGACGTAAGTTGTTCGTTACTCCCCCAGGCTTCAAATTTGATATTTAAAACCAAGATTTTGTCTCTTTCTTCTCCCTTCTTCTTTTTCTGACCTCCCTTCCCAACTTTTCAGAGACAATCAGCTTCTTGTCCTGGTTTTATTGGTAGAAGGCTTTGGGGGTAAAGGACAATTACAAAGAAGGAGAACTACATTGGGTAATATTTCAAAATATTAACCTTCCACATGCAGTTTGCTCTATGTCTATTTCCAGAACATTTTCTTGTGTAATTTTAGAAAAGGCACCAAAATGACAATCAAGTCAACAACCGTTCTGTTCTGGTGCTGACAAACGGCAGGTAAGTCCTCCTAGGGAGGCCGGTTAGGTAGGACTGGCTCTGGGAGAAAGTTGGCCTTGCTAAAGCTTGACATGTTGGGTGCTTTGGAAAGGTAATTCAGGACTGTGAAAAGTTGGACATGAGAAGAATTTGTTTCTAGATCTAGCATGTCCTGAACTTGCTATGTGACCTCAGACCTTGCCTCAGACCTCTCGGGGCCTCATATTTCTTGTCTATAAAGTGGAGATAATATTATCTAGCTTAGAGGATGCTTGTGAAAATGAAATAATATATGTTAAAGCAATTAATAAAATTATGATGTGGTGTTAATATGCAAGTGATTCTTATTAGTGCAGTGATCAGCATGGAGACATTGGTCTTTAGAACATCAGTGAATTCTGACATGGCTTATTGCCCACTCTACTATAGCCTTTGGTCAGGTCATCTTTTCGTTAATAATCTAAAGAAAGTATTGGTGTTGACCTCATCGCTGTGGTGTTTTGTCATAGCTATCTAAAGTGTTGGGTCACTGTTTATATTTGGCGGGAGCCTTCAAAATTTGAGCAATTTACCTTGGGCAGAAATGGAGGGAAGCAGGCATAATTTCTATATAAGGCAAAATATGAAGACTATCATAAGAGGTACGAAAAATTGTCATAGGAATTAATAAAAATGAGCAATTGTAGCTGATTAAAGGAATCAGAGAAGACTTTCTGGAGGAGGTGTTGTTTGTGCTAGGCCTTAACGGATGGGGAAGAATTCAACAAATAGATTGTATGAAAGGAAAAGTGACCAGTGTGTGCATGATCGAAAAGAAATACAAACCTGAAGGAATTCAAAATTGAGATCCAGGGGTCGGCCCCGTAGCCGAGTGATTAAGTTTGTGCGCTCCGCTTCGGTGGCCCAGGGTTTCACTGGTTTGGATCCTGGGCACGGACATGGCCCAGCTCCTCAGGCCATGCTGAGGTGGTGTCCCACATAGCACAACCAGAGGCACTCAAAACTAGAGTATACAGTATGTACCAGGAGGCTTTGCGGAAAAGAAGAGGAAGAAAAATTGGCAGCAGATGTTAGCTCAGGTGCCAATCTTTTAAAAAGAATTGAGATCCAGTCTTTTTTCATGGTAGCCTTAGACTTAATCATATAATTCTATTACATGAAGTTCTTTGGCATCTAATCCTGTTATTTGTTGTGGCTGCTGATTGTCACTTATGGGGGATTATTTCCTCAAGTATTTTGGTCTGTTGTAGCCTCCCATAAGATACCACCAAAAAGGTCAATTGTGATTAAAAAGAAAATTAAGGGACCGGCCCTGTGGCCGAGTGGTTAAGTTTGCCCACTCCGCCTTTGGTGGCCCAGGGTTTCACCGGTTCGGATCCTGGGCACGGACATGGCACTGCTCATCAGGCCGTGTTGAGGTGGTGTCCCACATGCCACAACTAGAAGGACCCACAACTAAAATATACAACTATGTACTGGGGGAATTAGGGGAGAAAAAGCAGGGGGGAAAAAAAGAAGTAAAAAAAAATGAAAAAAGAATGGAAGGGAGGAATTAGAAATAAAAAGAAAAGAAAAGACAAAACTGAGTTTATTAGAAAATTTGTGAGGCTAGGGAGTTACTGACCAAGTGAATTTAGTCAAGGGAACTCCCCAAGTAGCTTGAGTGCATAAGGATATTGGAGAAAAATTTGTCATGGAGTGGTTTTAGGGTAGGAGTTCACAAGGAGGGCCCTGGTTAGACTTTTTCAGCCAGTGAGTGTCTGATTAATTTAACCCTCAAGGTGAGGCTGGTTGTTGAAACAGTCTATATTCCAGAAAGTGGCTTTCTTTTCTAGAACACATGGGTCTGAGCAGAGCTGCCATTGAAAAAGTATGTTTATTTTGCAAGTTGTGATTTCTCTTGTTTTCGTTTCTCAGTAATTTTAGTTACAAACACTTGTTTAGTGGCACTTTCTTTATGGGAAATTCTAAGTGGCCTTAGTTGAGGTTGTGCCCCTCTTGAGGGGTTTTGTATTTGCTTCCACCAAGTAACTCAGGGGTGTCACCAGCTGAGACCTAATTTGGAGCAGGTATAAATTTGAACCACGTACTTCATGAGATTACAGATTCTCAGGGGAGAGTCCTCTGCTCCCTGACCCCCAACCCTCCAGAGTAACAGTGACAAACTTTCTTGCCAGTAGGTTGATGGTTTTTTTTAGACCACTCTTTCCCTAGTGCTGTCGCCCTTACAGAGCCCTGGCTTTATGAGTGGTTCTTAGTTCTAGCTCCCTGCCTCCCAAGACCCTAAGGACTCATCTCTTGTCCCTCTGGTGGGCTAAATTAAAACTCAAGTTACTAATTATTGAGATTTGCAATCCCCTCCCCCACTCAGGGCAAAAGAGCTTCAGAACATTCTTACTGTTCTGGATTTCAGTCCTGTCTTTTTCCCTGGCTCTTTATTTTGTGGTAAGCATAGCCTTGCTTTTGAAAGAATGTTGGCTTTATTTTATCTAGCATTTCTGAGTGTTTGTAGTAGGAAAAGTACCAGTGTGTTACAGAACTCCAGGAGGTAGCGTTTACATAAAACAGAGAATATTGCCTTCTCTAACTCTCTGACCATATTTTCCTAAACCGAAAGTTAGAATGCAATGCCTGGAAATTAAAAATGTACGGCCCAACAGGACTGAATATTTTCCATCAGAAGGACACATCTCCCCTCTCCTAAATCTGGGACATGCAGTTATTATAACGTCCAGGAACAAATTGGTAATAATTTGACAGGTCCTTATGTAACAAAATACAAGCTTTAAATCTCCAGGAGAAGTCAGAATGTTGTAGCCCTTCTTGTCATTTTTTACTGGTGAAAATCACAGCAGAGAGAATACCAGAGGACCAGCAAAAGTGAACGTGGAATCCAGACAAAATAAAACAAATACTCAGATGTCTTTCTCAGAGGCTTGTAGTTACTACTACCCTTCAGTGCTATCAACTAGATTTGAAAATTAGAAACAAAATAAACCTATTCAGATTTATCTGCATAGAGATGACACTTGAAACCCAGGCAAGGAGGCACAAGAATATATAAGTAGTCATCTTACAAGGACTTACACTTATGTTATAACAGTCAGAGAAAATTCAATTTGTAATAAGATTTAAAGAAATATAACCCTGGAATTGGAAACAAAAGTTATCTAAAAGAAAGAGTAAATTTATACAAGTGGACTTTTTTTTTTTGGATAAAAGAAATGTGGCCCTTCCCAAAGCAGCTATATTCTCAGAAGGGGTGTTCTAGGAGCACCCATGCCTTTGTGTGTCTGGCAAAGCGGTGATGTATGTCATGCCTGCAGATACCATGGCTTCATTCAGAGGTGAAATGGGCAGTGATCTCTAGATGTGCCTTCTCTTTCCAGCTCTGTGGGTGCTTGGCATAATAGAATTGTTGCAAAGGGGTAGCTCATCTTTCCACAATGCTTATGGCAATGTGAATGTCTTGCTTAGTCCTTTATCAGGAAGGAAGGAATTATGGATCCTATGCAGTTGGGGGAATTGAGGTACAAAAAAGAAGAGGAAAGAGAGCTGCCAGCATTATTGTAGAATCCATTCCTACTGCTAAGCTGCCTTTTATGGCAAGTGTGGATTCTATGGGCTCAAAAGTAATCCAGTTTTAACATTAATAAATAAAATTAGTATAGCCATATTATAGTGTACATTTTAGCTATCAAAAAAGAATGAGCCATCAAACCACGCTGAGGCAGCATCCCACATGCCACAACTGGAAGGACCCACAACAAAGAATATACAACTATGTGGGAAAAAAAAAAAAAAGAATGAGCCACATCTTCTTTAACTGCTCTCTAAGGTGTATTATTAAATGAGAAATGCAAAGTGCAGACAATTATATATCTAATATGTAATTTTTAAGTGTATATGCTATACGTGATTATATCAATTAATATTTTCTAGAAGGAAACACAAAAATTACTCACCGTGGCTACCTTGGGGAAGCAAAACTACTGTCTGGGGAGAGAGAAAACTTTACTTTCTCCTTTTACGTACTTTTTATTATTTGAATTTTTTTTACCATATGCATGTATTACTTTTACAAGAATAATTGTGTGTGTGTGTGTCTGCATATACTTCCATAGCATTTTAGAAAACCCTTATAGCCTGAAGTCAAGAGAAATGGGCCCCATTCTTGACTGTAGCAAGGATGCATCACAAACCAGCTTGGTCCTCCTTAGAGCCTTGACTTCATCTCAGCTTCTTTTTTTTTTTCTTTCTTTCTTGGTTGTCAAAACAGGGCTGTGGGGAAATTCTCAGAGAGCAAGCGTTCAAGGCTCATTTTCTTACAGGATGAAAGAGGACAAATGGATGAATATCCAAGTGGGAGATATAGTAAAAGTAGAAAATAATCAGTCTGTCACGGTGAGTACCTCTTTGGGCTGTGGCTTTTGCTCTTTTGGCTTGAGTGGGCACAAGGGAACCCTTTTAGCACTTCTGCTCCCTCTGCTTTTGGTGACTTTCATCTGCCTCACTTTGCCTCTGGAGATTGACAGCTTCTGTGGTAAGAAGCTTGTTCTGTCCACCTCTCACCAGAGCCACAGGTAAAGTGTAACTAGTTTTAGGAGGGGTGTGTGTGTTAGCAGTGATGTGTCCTAGACAAAGAAAATAAACCAAATGTCTGTAAAATTCTTAGGATGAACATCTTTCCTGAAGTAACTGATTTTGTCATACCATAACGGTAAAAGTCTGCCTTCCTGCTTTCCTTATCTTCTCTGACTTTTCTGACCACAGGCTGATATGCTGTTACTCTCTAGCAGTGAGCCTTACAGTCTGACATATATAGAAACAGCAGAACTGGATGGGTAAGTGTTCTCTCCTGATAGTCCATTAAGATGACTGAGCCAACTTAGAGTGATTTCTCACTAAGAGAAAGCTTTTCTTACAGCATGGATTTTATTCTCAGATGGTAGTGCTAAAGAGGCTAGAAATATCCAGATAAGAGGGGATAGGAGGCCAGACTCTTGGGACCTCAAGTCTAAGGCTAGCTCTTGACAGCAATAGAGCATCCACTGGGTGTAGAATCTGGGTAAATAAACCCAATATTCTTCATCTCTAAACTGGAGACACTCTGTCTAGCTGTATTCAATAATGCTGAGTGGCAGGACAGAGGTGAACAAAACTATAAAATTTCAGAATAGAGTTCTAAAGTTTCTAGGGGGAACAAAATGAGTATGGAGGTAATTATTTACTGATAAAATGCCATATTCTATAAGGGATTTAAGGTAGAAATTCATTAATGTGCAAAAGCTAAGGTCTCAGGACAATGGAGGCCATCTTCAGAGAGCATGTCCTGTGGAGTCTTGTATTGATCTGCATTCTTACAGCTATTCTTCCTGGTGCCCACAAGCTTTTTGAAATGTGGCTTTCATTTTTGCTTTTGTCTCTGTGCATTCCTGTATCAGCAAATGGTTAATTGAAATCCTTCCATGGGTCCTATAAATATTTATGAAGGAAGAAGTATGTTTACCCAGAGGTGTGTGAGGTTCTTACCAGGACCTACTCCTTATCCTTGATGGGAGAAGGTGCCATCCCCAGGTTATTTTGTGATGTCTCTTCAGCTTCTCTGGAGCATCTGACCAGCAAGATCTCATGGGTTGGTTAAAGTAGTGGTAGTATGTTGAAGGGAGCGAGAGCAGGGAGAGAGGGCAGTGAGTGGGCTAACATTCAGCTTCCTTATGGAAGCTGGACACTCTCCTTGAGTGAGGAGAACAGTGGGAGCGACTATTACAACTCAGACCTCCAGTCCAAGCTCTATTGGCAACATCTATGTTCTAAAACCCCTTGAAGAAGCAGGAGAAACTGGACCTGTGCTGCTGTTGTGTATGTGTGCTGTACTCTGGTGACTGTGTGTCCTTTACTCTAGTGAAACCAACCTGAAAGTGAAGCAGGCCATCTCAGTCACCAGTGACATGGAAAATAATCTAAAGCTGCTGTCTGCCTTTGATGGTGAGTTAGGAAATAGGTTTGCTCACCCAAATTTTTGTCAGTAGAGGACTAAAGTATGGTACGTCCATATAGTGAATTCCGTATAACTTATGAAAAACAATATGCAAATTGATATTTATTTACATGTAAGTAACATACTAAAAAAACAATAAGTGAAAAAAGATTATAATAGACCGTGCATAGTATATATAATGTAAACTTTTTTTGGAAACATACATATGTTTATGAGTACATGTATAGAAAAAAAGTTGGAAGGATAACTTCAAAAGATTAATAGCACTTACCTGTACACAATGGGTGAGTTACTTTCTCCTTTTAGTAGTCTATACATATTTACGAAGGGCATATTTTACTTTACTAATCAGGAAAAGTCAAATTATTTCCATTTTGAAAAAAATACTAGATTTGTTTTAAGTAGTTTTTTAATTTCTTCAGATTCAGAGCTCATGTGATCTGGCAGTGATGATGATAAGTTATCATGTGGGTTTTTCTCTCTCTGGATGATCCATGTCACATACAGAAGTACTCTTCTGTGATGCCCAGAAATCTTTGTCTGCCTTTCTAAAGGGAGCTGGTAAGAAAGGGCAGCAGCTGAGAGAGCATAGGAAAAAGACGTGTATGTATTTTGAAAGAGAAATGTTCTTTCCTCTTTTCGGTTAAGCCTCCTTCTGTCCTGTTAGGAAAGGCCTACAATTACAGAGCCAGGACTCTTACTCCTTCATTTTTCTTCAGGAGAAGTGAGGTGTGAGTCTCCCAATAACAAGTTGGACAAATTCGCAGGAATACTGACTTATAAGGGAAAAAACTACATCCTGGACCATGACAAGCTGCTGCTCCGAGGCTGCGTCATCAGGAACACAGATTGGTGCTATGGCTTGGTAATTTATACAGGTATGTCTCCCTGGAGCCACAGTCAGACCCCCAGCCTGCTGGATTCTATTCATCAGCAGGTTGTAGGTACTTCGTTTTCAGGATGTAGATATGGCGCTCAGGTGTATATCAGAACACCGTGGCTTTGAGACACATAGAAAGGGAGGTAGGTAGATGGATGGAGGGATGGATAGATGGATGAGTTAAAAAACTTTTTTCTTGGGAAAAAATGAGTTCTTTTTTTCCAAGCAATGAGCTGCCAACATATCAGCACTGCCTTTGTTAGAGGAATGCTTTGTGTTCCAAAATCATAAGGCATTCATGAGTCTTTCCAACCATATCTGGACACAGGAGAAAGTATACATATAGAAGAAGTACGCATAGAATTAGCATGTGAAAGGGGAAAATGTGAAAGGGGAGAGTATACATGTGGATTACTCCCATGAGGAGAAAATAAACTCACTGCTCGTTATGAAGGAGAATATAAAATATAATGTGAAGGGTTCAAGCCTGAGAAAAGGCGTAGTGGATCATTAGCAGTCCCCTCCTGAGATGTCATTTAGAACCATAATCCCTTATAATTAGTGAGGGATTTTCTTGGGTTTTATGGTTCAGGAAAACAGAGGAAGCTTCTGTGCTACCCTGTGCCCAGTGACAGAGGGCATTGATGACAACAACCACCATAAGAAGATAGGGACACTGAAGATAGCATCAAGGAAGATTTACCACAGTGAATACTACTCAAGTCAGAGCTCCCCTTCTAGAAACTTCATTCCTACACGTGGAGATCCTAGATGCCTCACTTCTGTGCAAAATAATGGGATCTAAGCCCTAGAGAGAAGCTTCAGAGTCCAGGGAGGCCTTGGTGGAAGTTTCTTCATTGATTCTGCACCAACACTGGCAGCCTCCAGGCTTCCTAGTCCCAAACTCAAAAGATTTGAAGTAGATTTATTTTCTTCACTCTACTTCAGCAGCTACCCCCACACATTGCCACACATAAAAAGCTCATTTTTCAGCAAATGATTTTTTCCCTAAAATAACAGCAGTGAGATTACCAACCAGCATAAATTTAGTTAAGATTTCTCTCTGACTCTCGGGTGGTTATGTGGTAGTGAAAAATCTTTGGGGGCTTTGGGAAGCTTAGAACAGAAGAGAACTGATGCCACCTAAGAGTATCCCAAGGTGTTCAGTGCAGAATTGGGTTGCTGTTTCTGCTACATGATGACCAAGTTCTACCATGATCTCTACATCCTTCTGGAAACCTGGGGAGGGTCGGTCTTTGTAAGGACCCTTTGAAGATACTGTCCCTTGTAGCTTCCAGGCTCTGAGGCATACTTCTCGTGCGTTCAAGCCCTTCAAGGAATGCTTAACAGGAAAGAATGGCATAGCTTACGCCCTGCATTCACAGTGTTTCCCACATATCAGGGAAGTTCCAGCTCCCCCATGTGTAAACGTTGATGAAATTCCTTTATTAGAGTACATGTAAGAATAATATTCAGATAGGAAAAGACCGGATAAATTGCTACCTACGCTTCCTTCTAAACCTATGTTGTCTCCGTCATCATATCTCAGGTCAGCACTTTCCAACTCTACTCCCAGTGGCCATTAAAAGCTCTTTACTTCTGCTTACTATCTGCCCTGTCATGAGGAAACATGGAATCTCTCTCCATCCCAGAAAAGTCTCAGGTCCCCAGCTTCCTCCTTACTGCCATTGCCTTTTCCTTTCTCCCTTTCCCAATTAGAAACTTTAATAGAGCATGGTCTAGCAGTGGGCTTCCTCAAAAGAAAGTGGAAATCTCTTTATCAGAAAAATCCCTTTTCTAAGCTAAGTAAACTGAATGGTCATGAGAGAGAAGCTTGTGGCTCGTATTCTGAGTTAACTCATCTATGAAAGACTAGACTGTCTAAGGTGCTGCAAAGAGAGGCGTAAGCATTGCTGCACTTTGCAGAAGTAGTTAGGATTATCCTTAAAAACAAATTTTCCATCCTTTGAGTTATTAGCACCAACTATGAGCCTTTCTCCAGAGCTTTATCTTTTGGCTTTGGAAAGAGGTTTGATTAGGTGATCACAAAAGTACGTTTCAACCCAATTTCAAGCCTCTGAGTATATTCAGTGATTCTAAGAGCTGATGTCTCTCTGTTTCACTTAGGGCCAGACACTAAATTAATGCAGAACTGTGGAAAGTCCACCTTTAAACGGACACACATAGACCATCTCATGAATGTCCTTGTGCTCTGGGTAAGTTAAAGACTTTTTTCTGTTTCTTTACGAATAGAAACACTTCCCTTCCGTCCACAGCAGTAGCTGACATTTCCAGTTCAGAATGTGGTTGTTTGAATATCTCAAGCAGTTTTAGGACCCCACATACTAATGTCTGAGGCAGAAAAAAACAGAGCCAATTGACAAGGGAGACTCTACTCTATTCCTCTATTGTGGAAGACAGTCACAGTTTGTTTAAGATTTGATGCTTTGATTAGTGGTACGGGAGTGGATCAAGGAGCCTGCTTTAGAAATTAAGACAAGTTTTTTATTTTCTCATAACCAGTTTTCAAAAAATCACTTTAATAAAACCTTACTGAGACTAATATAACACCTTAGTTAAACTGATGGTTTTCGAACTCTGTTTCTGAGAGGAGTCTAAGGTCTACGCATGGGGAATAGAGAAGATCAAGTGAGTTTTGTTCTGGCTCCTCGTCCTGAATTCCTGCTTCAAGAACAGCAGCTTCACCTTGAAATGTTCTGTAAGATATCAGTCGATAAATAGAGGATTCTGCTGGTAAGAAGAGAAATTTGAAAAGCTTCAATAGATAATCAGCTTTGATAATAATAATAATAGAAGTTTAAAATGAAGACTAATTAATCAGTTTATTTCCATGCTGTCGTATACAGGTTGCCTTTATTCTTGTTAGATATGGACAGATTAATTTCTTCACTTTACAACTTCTTTGCATAACTATCAGTTCCAGTGCTGTCTATACTTAATTCCATGACTTTTCATTTTTACTTTCACTTGATTGCTTAAGACTTTGAAAATTCAAAGATGCCTTTTCTTTCTATACATTTCTCATTAATATTTGAATTATAAACTGCCTGTTCTCCACTATTTATTATGGGAATTATCACAGTTCTTCTAAATCCTTTAGATTTAGTAAATGGAGTCTTAGAAAATTAGGAAATTTCATTCAGCTTTGAGACCAAAAACTAGTATCCACTATGTTTCTCTTTCTGCTCCTGTCTGCATAGCTTTCAGCAGTTGAAATGAAGTGACATTTCCTGGTTTCTTAATGAGGAAGACTCACAGCTGAGAATTCAGGAAGGTGATATAGGCAGATATCCCTTTGACAATATTAGGAGCATACATAATTAGACAGTAAGCTAGGTCATTTAGCCTAGGCTGTCTTCAAAATAGGATGTGTCACATATGCCTAGAAAGGTTCAACTACTTGTTTACCTATCTGAAGGGCAGCGATAATACTTAACATCTGTAGAGGGATTTTATATTTTTAGAATATTTTCACATCACTCACTAACTGCAGTCTCACTACATCCATGAACAATAAGCAAGTCAAGAAGTATTTTCCCCCTTTGATGAAGATGCAGATTAAGACACAGTAAAGATAAATATCATAAATAAAATCCCACAGAAAAATAATGGCAAAGACAGTCTATGACTTATCAAGTCATCAGATGATATTTATTGAGAATCTGTTATGTGCCCAGTATGTGCTAGATGTGAGAAATGTGAGGACATGTAAGACCTGGGTCTAGCCCGCAAGTGTCTAAGTTCATTGGTAGCAGGGACGGGGGGGAGGGTGGTGAGGAGTAAGGCATCACATCAATATGTGCCAGATGCTTTACATACATGATTTTATTTAATAATCACATCTATCCATAAGTTTTTAGAGTCAATGCTCTTTCTGCTATACTTGCTATCTCTCCTTGGGGAGACAAAATTAAAACACATGGCAAGTCCTGTTTAACATGCCAGATTGACCACATGTGGAGAAATTATAAAATTAAAAAGAAGATCCTAAAAGCTTCCAGAGAGGAATAAAAGGTCCTACACAAGGATCAGGAAGCAGAATAGCATTGGTCTTCTCAACAGAACAGCAGAAGGTAAATATCTGTGCCTTCAAAAGTCCTCCAGAAAATTGTTTGCAGCCTATAATTCTAAATCCAGTGAAACTATCAATAATATGCAAGTATAAAATAATATCCATATTTGCAAAAACTTAAAAAAATTTACTCATCGTGCATCCTCTCTTAAGAAGCTTCTAGTGTATACTCAAGCAAAACAAGAGAGTAAACCAGGAAAGAAGATATGGAAGCCAGGAGATGTGGGAGCGGTGAAAGGAAGTCCTAGGATGACAGCTGAATAGCAGGCCTAGAGAACCCCAGTGCAGATGAGAGCAGGAGTATCGAGGGATTGTGGCATGAGTCTCCAGGGAGAATGTAGTTCTCTGCTCAGGTTTTCACAAGGCAGAAGCAGCAGAGAGGCCACATGAATGCCCGGGGCAGCTAAGCTGGCAGAATACTGCTGTGAATTACTACATTTGTGAGGTTATTCATGCAATCTTTTCTTTAGAAAGTATGGAATATTATCTGGGGTATTACGTTCACTTTGGGGCATCCAGTTTAAGGGCATTGAGACTTCCTCTTCAAGCCTAGTGAAATGACTGTAAAGAAATAGAAACAGGAAATAAATAACTAACAGCCCTGACAGAGGATGAAGAACCATCAGCAGACCCGAGAGTTGATGAGTTTTTGGAAAGCAGAAGGTAGATAGATTATACTGATAGATAAACCTGAGTGGTGAGAGCTTCAGTGGAAATATATTCTTCTTAACAGAGCTTAAGAGTAGCTCCAAGCTAGAGTCAGCAGGTGTGGAGAGCAGGCGTGGGAGCTGAGGTAATAATCAGGATAATTAATTTTAAAACTGCCCATAAAACAACGTGGGCAGTAATTGGCCCTCTGAATCATCCTACCACCCTGATAGTATACATATAGCAGGAACAATGTATTTGCCTCCAGTCTCAAACAAGAGGACTGCTTTCTAAATAAATTTAACAACCTATCTGTAGAGGACTAGGGCTTCTAATGTGGGTGTCATCACTTCAGAGTAAAACTCACTTTACTTTAAATTTGGGGGGCTCAGGGTGGCCCAGTGGCACAGCAATTAGGTTTGCACATTCTGCCTCGGTGGTCCGGGGTTTGCCAGTTCGGATCCTAGGTGCAGACCTACACACTGCTTGTTAAGCCATGCTGTGGTAGGCATCCCACATATAAAGTAGATGAAGATGGTCATTGATGTTAGCTCAGGGCCAGTCTTCCTCAGCAAAAAGAGAAGGATTGGCGGCAGATGTTAGCTCTGGGCTAATCTTCCTCAAAATAAATAAGTAAATAAATAAAAATAAATTTGAGGGGCTCAAGTTTTCCTGCAAGCTCCTTGTGTACCCTCGGGTGCAACCTGTCAAACAACTGCCTACCCACAGACTGCCTACCCACACAGAATCCATGGTGCCATCTTCCCAGTCAGGGAACAGGCCAGCTGGGGAAACAAAAGTAACCAAAGGAAACAAAACATACTCTAGCAATATAGAGCGATCAAACTACTCTTTTATTCATATTTTTAAGGGGACTAAACGGAAACCAGGAGCACACAAGAGAAGGATGAGGGTGAACAAATAGAGTAACTGACCCTGGAATAGACAGGTTATAATTTAGGGAAGAGAAAAGAGAAGAATTTGCAAAAAATTCTTATTATTCTTCTTAGAAGAAGCAATTGCATAAATAAAATAAGAATAGGTTACTAAAAATAAAAAAGAAGAAAAAAGCAATCTAAGAACAACAACAAAAGAGAATTTTGGAATTTAAAAATTGCTGAAATTAAAGAGTCATTAAAAGGGCTGAAATAAAGAAAGAACTCTCCTAGACCATAAAACAAAAAGACAAAGTGATAGAATCTGTGAGATAAATACCTTTTTTTAATGGAGGATCAAACCAGGTACCCCAAATTCATCTACCAGGAGTATTGGAAAGAGAAAATGGAAGGGACAACATTGTCATAATAGACGATTATGTCTTAGAATTGGAGAAGGGTATGAGTTGCAGATTTAAAACATCCATTAAACATCATGAAATGTTACAGCTCTAAGGGCATAGGGAAGATTCTCAGAATTTTTGTAGAGATAAGAATAAGATATCCATAAAAAAGGAGAATTAGATTGCCATCAGATTTCTCACCAGCACCAGTGGGTCCTAGAAACCAATAGGGTCATATCTTCAAAGTTGTTAAGTGAAAATTATTTTGACCTGGAAATCTATATCCAGGCAAACTACAAATGAAGTGAGAAAGCAAACTTGTTTCTAACTTAGGACCTCTAACCTTGCTGGCAGTGTCTGCCCAGGTCTTTGTATGCTTGCTTCTTGCATGGCCTCGTTTAATGCCACCTTTTCAGAGAAGCCTTCTCTGTCACCCTATCTAAAGTAGCCACCCCCACCAAGACCTTCTTTATTCTATTAACCTGTTTTATTTTCTTCATGTCACTTAGCACTAGTTAAGTTATATTTTTCCATTTCTTAAATTGTGTGTCGTCCACCTATGTCTGCAGGATTGTAATTTCTCTGAGAGTGAGGACATTGTCTTTTTTCACCACTGTATCCCCAGTCCCTAGAAATACACCTGACACATAATAGGAGCTTCATTATTATTTGTTGAGTTAGTGAAAAAAATGAATGAACAGCTGAGCTACCAAATTATGAGCCTCTAAGGTAGAAATTATGTCACAGTCATCTCTGTGCTCTTGGGAGTGCCTTGCACCAAGCAGTGCTCAGGAAATGTCTTTTGAATTGTTATTAAATGAAGAGAGGTTCCTGAACTAGCTAGGTTCTTACCAGCTCAGCAGTGTTGTTTATGTGGTATTTTTTCCAGGACATTGTCAATGTAGTTAGATGTAATGCACTCTCATTTTCTTGAAGCTGGAGCAGAAATCCTTCCTGATTTAAACACTTCATGTTTTCCCCATTTTTGGAAATGTTTCTTACAGGAAAATCTGGCAGACACGTAACCTTTGGGGTTTGTGGCAAAAATCAAATTCTTGTTTTTTTCTTTGTGTAGAGCGGAAGCAAGGTGAAGCTTTAGAGCCTGAGTACCAATAAACTCCATCATAATAATAAGAAACAACATATGCAAGGACTTAGAAAGTCTCAGGATGGCAGGGAAAGCTCTAAGAATGAGG